CACACACACACACACACACACACACACACACACACACACACACACACACACAGATGTACTGCTTGAACCACATGAGGTTCTTAGTACGAGGTTGTGGGGAGGTGATAACCCCCTCTGATTCAGGAACTTCCTCTGCATCGCTGCGTCTCAGGATAARACCGCTCAGGCTCCACCCACCGACCTGGACGTTGCTGAAACCAGCACCTCACTGCTGCAGCTTTTGTGAACGCCATTCGCAAGGAAAACATTTCAAATTAGTTTGCACAGAGGGGCGGGACTTACCAGGACCAGCATGGATCATTTCCTGAGTGATTATAAAGTTTCCTAAAGTCATCAATTCTACTTTTATCCAATGTTACATCACTCTGTTAGCCACTTCCTGTTTAAGAGAATGGGAAGTGCAAAAACAAAGTAGGAATAGTGAAATAGTGGGCGTTACGTAAACTCCTTTGAATCTAACCAATCGACTTCAGAAGCTTATTTCCTGACAGAAATCCTGCAGCTCAACCTAAAGCTGCCACTCTRAGTAAACACTTTGTGTGTAACAATGCATCTGATGCTCTTCCATCACACCGTCTGATCCAACATTAAAAACAAAAGCAGCTAAATAAAGTCTGAAAGTTACTACTAGCTTATCAGCTTTGAGGYGTAAAATAATAATTTGATAAAAGCTACATTAAGGTATGAAAGACAGGACGACAGGAGCACCTTCAAAGTTCAACTCATCAACTTTACGTGTTATTGACTGAGTGATATTTAACCACTCAAACCAGATCCAACCCTGCTGTGACCCCTGCAAACCTGAACAGAGTCYGGGGTGAAGCTGAGGATGGAAACACCTCTGATGCTTTCTGTCACATATTACAGCGACTCAGCAGTTTCTCTGCTGCCTCTCCTCTGATGGGAGGAATGCAGCGTTCACACTTTTATTTACTCGCAGCGTCTTCCTGCTCCTTTCTGAACATCTTCCTCCCTCTCCTCTCGTTTCCCTGCTAATCTACAGCCTGGCAGAAACTTCCCCATGAATTATTGAAATGAATGACATCTCATAAGGAATTCACACAATACGACTCAGCCCGGAGAGAAAAGAGAACGATAACGTCCCTAAAACGTGTGTGTGTGTGTGTGTG